TAGGGAGTTATTCTCCCTCCTGTGGGGAAGGAGGGGGACGAAGCAGACATGTGGCTGTTTCAGTAGAGTTTTATTTTGTTTATAAACGGTTAGGATTGGAAGGGACTTTAAAGATCACCTACTTCAACCCCCCTGCATGAGCAGCAACACCTTCCATCTAGACCAGCTTGCTCAAAGTCCCATCCAACCTGATCTTGAGCACACCCAGCAAGGGGGAATCCACAGCTGCCCTGGGTAACCTGTGCCAGTGTCTCACCACACTCCCACAAAATAATTTCTTCCTAATCCCTTAGGATTGGAAGGGACTTTAAAGATCACCTACTTCAACCCCCCTGCATGAGCAGCAACACCTTCCATCTAGACCAGCTTGCTCAAAGTCCCATCCAACCTGATCTTGAGCACACCCAGCAAGGGGGAATCCACAGCTGCCCTGGGTAACCTGTGCCAGTGTCTCACCACACTCCCACAAAATAATTTCTTCCTAATCCCTAACATAAATCTCCCCTCTTTCTGTTTAAAACCATTGTGCCTTGACTTATCACCTCATATCCCTGTAAAAAGCCCCTCCCCAGCTTTCCTGTAGGCCCCTTCAGGTACCAGAAGGCTGCCACAAGGTCTCGTCGGAGGCTTCTCTTCTCCAGGATGAGCAAACCCAACTCTCAGCCTGTCCTCACAGTTAGAGGTGCTCCAGCCCTCTGATCATCTTCACATCCCTTCTCCAGTCTCACTCCAACAGCTCCATGTCCTTATGTTGTGAACCTCAGAACTGGACACAGTATTCCAGGTGGAGTCTCACAAAAGAGTAGATATGTACGTTAATATCCATATACACCACACAAAATGAAGTCAAAGGACTCTTTCCACCCTCACAATAATAAGTCAAACCTGTGATCACCTAAAATTTTGGTAAAGTTAGAGCTAAGTCCCAGATAAATAGATCTCAAAATACTATTTTTTTCCCCCATAGAAAAATGCACATTTCTCTCTAAATTGTTGTAATGCTAACTCATGGCAAAGCTTGTCCTTTAATATGTTACCTCACTTTTCAGGGTTGTCAAGTAACTAACAGTTTTGGCTATTTCAATTGCTCCTGTTCCACAAGGAAATATTTTAGCATTGTTTCTTCAAAGAAGGAGTTGGGATTAAGAACACAGCCACATGTGGTATGGAACACCATGTTACTGCAACATATCTGCTTGACTAATGCTTCCTATCTCACATGATAAGATCATGGTTCATAATAGCTCCTAGCATATTTGTAAGAAAGTAAAGCGTAGCACAGGGAAACTGCTTGTAAAATCCCATCTTAATAATGAATTTCCATTCTGAGACTCATTTTATTTGTGGTCAATACATTTGTGGTCACCATAAGTGCCCTCACACTGGGCAATCTGTTTAACTGTCTGATCCATTCCTGTGAGAAGGGAACCTTCTCCCTGTAGGAAGTGCTCCTCTTGGGCTGTGAGGGTGGATGTTTGTGTCAGGACTCCGTCTTTGACAGCGCTAGTAATATTGTCATTTATTGTATCTGCCATTCTCCTTCAGCTCTAGGATCCTGTTTTAATCTATTAATAAGTTTTTCAAGGACATTACTTTGTCAGAAAAAAATTGTTTAGGGTCTAGCACACCCATGGTCTAAGCATTGTATTTGGCAAGAAAGCAGATGTAAGTGGTTCTCTTGCTATGCCCGCAAATATCCATCCATACCAGAGTCATGGCAAAACACTAAGGTGTAGGACAATACCAGGTTTGTGAAACTTTAAATTTCTTCACCGCTGCATGTGTGCTATTTTACTGTATCATTTACTGTACATTGTCATTTACCAGTTTCATTCTGGAGCCCTGTTTCATGCATTTCACTGGAATAGAAAGTACTTATTTAATTAGAAGTTTTCCACAGTTTCTCCCACTCGACCTGGCTTTATGTTCTATCGTATTTTCTTCAAGCAATGCTCTGAATACAGAACTACAGATTTCTCCGGTGTTTTTTCTTTCATGGTAATTTTGTCTGAGTGTTTCTGAAATACTAGCACATTTATTTTCAAGCATTGCTACAAACCCAAGATATGCTATTACCTTCAGTTAACAGGGGGGAATTCTGAGCTCCAAGGAGCTAAAACAAAAGAATCCGCAAAGCTTAGGAGTCTTATATGAGAGCAGTCTAGGACTTTAATTTTTTATAACTATTTAGCGTTATAGCACACTTCCCTTACCCACTTACAACTCCTGTTCACCTCAGATCCAGTACTCAGCACTGATAAATCAGTCTTTTCAGACATTGAAAAACTTGGTTAGTGGCCACCTATGATGCAAGTAAATTGCATAGCATCAATTACAAACTCAGGGGAAGGACTACAATTTAGCTTTCAAGACAACGTTCAGTTTACTACTTTTCTTCTGTCACAAACATGGAAGAAGTCCTACTAAACACACTCTATAATCTCTTTAACTTCACAATCTCAGTTCATATCCATGCTTCATGGCAAATAAAAGGCAGGGGCCCTATGAAATAAATAGTATGTAATTCCCAAATTTTATAAAAATGCATTTACAGAAGGAACATTTCCAGCTTTTTGACTGACTAAAATCGTGACAACAATGTCAATTTAACATTTCTGTATGCATAACTATAAAATGGACAAAACATTGAATTATATGTTGTTCTATGAGTCAGGGATATTTATCAAAACTATAAATTAAATTTAAAAATTAAATCAACATGACCCATTACGTGAAGAAACCTCCCACCTAATCCTTCCAGGATTACCTGGTATAACCTTTTTGTAGACATTGAGAGTAAAACATCTCAGTCACAACAACAAAAACAAAAGAACAGCCTATATTGAGCTTCACCTTGAAGCTGACCTGTTAATTATTCACTAGTCAAGGCTTATCTGATAAACTTAGCTACTCTTTCAGTTCTTGGAATATCCATGAGATTTATGCCAATTGTTCTGAGGACTTGTTTTGGGTGTTTTCTTCCAGGCATTTTTGTGACTTTTTTTATTTTACTTTTTCTTTTTACTTAACTTTATGGAAAAGTATTGTGGCATTGAAATTTTTACATGCTTTTACAGTGTTGCTTCATGGTTTTGTCCTTTGAATGACTCTATGGGTTCCCTGACATTAGTGTTTAAGGAGATGTGAACAGTTTCAGTGAAAGCATCTTTCCAAATGTGTATGCAGAAAGGTACCTTTTTGGCACATAAAGGTAGAGTATTTTCTCCTTCCAAGCTTCTGGAAGAGCAGATTTTGCACTCTTTCATTGCCTAGTCTTATTGCCCATCCACAATTAACATTTCAATCAAATTTTGTACAGAATGTATAAATCACTCTTACTTGAAGGGAACTGTGTCTTAATTTCACAGTATGACTCTCCATGAGAAGGCTGAACTTCCCTGGATAGTATTTTGTAATGGGTGTATTAACATTTTCAGAGAACTTTAAGAAATGTTTCCTTCATGCATCTTGCAGTAACTATAATTACTCTCTGTCTCAACAAATTGTTTTGCATGCTTGTTCTGTTGAATTGTGAATGGAGGCTGTAAAAAGAGGCTTGCATTAAAGCTCCACTATGTAAAGTAACAAACCTTTGCTATGCAAAACGTAGTTATCAAAACTTGTTTCATTTATTAACTGCTTGCAAGGACCAGTGCCATCACTTATCTTTTTCATTAATTTGTTTTATTCTTCAAATATTCCCCACAGCCAAACAGCTCAGCAAGAATGTTAGACTCATCTGTCAAAACCAAGAGGATTTGAGGAACTGATGAAGAATTAAATGGCAGCATGCGAGGTGGCTGAGGAATGGAAATGTATATTGTATGTAGCCTGTGAAAGAGACAACAAGCCGTAGAACTGGTGGGGAGAACCTGAGCACAGAAGGGACAGGAAAAACCTTTCTCTTCACCGCTGCAGAGTATGGCACCACTACAAATTATCAGCTTTGTCACAACGACCACTCTCAGTAGTGAAGTGATTGCTTACTGGCAGAGCTGGCTCTTTTTAAATTAGCTTTATTTTTAACCCTTGCTACAATGTGAATGGAACACTGAAGAGGAAAAAAACCCAACAAACCATGACCAAAAACATAACAAAAACATTCCTACAAAATAGAATGTGAAATCCAATGGAATGTAATTGAGTAAAGAAAAGTTTAAGACAGGCATATGGATATATACCCCTTTAATATGTCCCTGGAGATTGAATGAACTATGGAGACAAGAAGATTTGGCTTGTTCAATTTCATATCCAGTGCAGAGATGCAGGGCCAAAACCATCCATATGTGAGTATCCTTGTCTGTTTTGGTTCAAATATTTTATAGCATAGCATCCACTTTTCCCAATCGCTGTAAAGACTACACAGACTCTGCTCTGATTCACTTCTCTACCTACTCTCTCTCTATCCTTGCAGGTAGCATGGACTCAGCCTCATCAGACTGAACACAACCTGACACCTCTGCAGCTCTGCAAAGGCATTTTAGAAGGTGCTTCTAGTCTAGCATGCCCCACAGTGTATAGACACTATTCCTCAGCATTGAGATAGGATACCCTTGGCATCCTCATTTCTTGGCTAGTTTCTCTGTCACCAGGCCAGATGCTCAGAATGGAGCAGCATGAGGCACAAAAGGAATCAAGGAGCTTGTGAACAAGAAGCACATATTCCTAATTTGCAGCTGGAAAATTTCCTGTTAACCTAGCAACAGAGCCAGCCCAGGCCAGCATCCACCACATCACAAAGCAGAACTGTTTCAAATTGAAGAAGTCAAAGATAGGATACTTGTGCAGCTGGGTTAGAATCAACTTTCAGCACAGCTTGTGTCATGATGGTGTGTAGGAGTGAGGTGGCTATGCCCTGTAGTCGGGTTCTCTCTGGTGTCTTTGATGGGGCTGTCACTCTAATCTCCTTTGTCCCTGCCCCATCTGAGCCCCCAGTGAGTATGGCTGGTTAGGATACTGGAGGAGTGTCCTCTTGTCAGGTCATATCAGGAGAATCAAGAATCACAGAATTATTGAGGCTGGAAAAGACCTCTGAGATCATCAAGTCCAGCCTATGACATAACACCACATCAGCTAGACCATGGCACTAAGTGCCACCTCCAGTCTTTCCTTAAACATATCCAGGGATGGTGACTGGGCAGTACATTCCAATGTCTAGTCACCCTTTCCCTGAGTAAATGCTTCCTAATAACCAACCTAAACCTCCCCATGTGCAGCTTCAGGCCACGTCTTCTCGTCCCGTCACCAGTTGCCTGGGAGAAGAGCCCAACCCCAACCTGACTACAATCTTCCTTCAGGTAGTTGTAGAGAGTGGTAAGGTCCCTCCTGAGTCTCCCCTTCTCCAGGCTAAATGACCCCAGCTCCCTCAGCCTCTCCTCATAAGACTAAGAACCTACAGCCCAGCTCGTACAACTGTTCTGCAGGTGTAAAAGCACCTGTTCAAAATTGTTCATACACAAACTTCTGAGAAGGAGCTAAACTTTAAAGCACACACCACTGCAGAAGCTCACTCTGCTGCACTGAGTGGAAATTCACACCTAGAATTAAAAATTTAAAAAATTACAGTTGCCTTAGCTCTGCAAAAGTCACAGATGTCCACTGATTTAGTGAAAGCCATGTTTTCAGGAGGACCAAGTAGTCCCATGTAGATGGCTCATTCTTCTATTATCGTGTTCTCCTGCATAGCACTTTTGTCTCCTCCAAAGCCACTACACAGTGAACACACACGGCATGACCTGGTGTGTCGCAATCTGCTCGACTGCAATAAACACATCAGTTCATTATGTTTGTTATTCCCTTCTTCTCTCACACTTTAACCAGCTGGCCTCAGAAATGCAAACATCATTCAGACTGACCAGGGACTGCCATTTGTTCTGCACTCCCACACACTTCAAGTTTGTCTGTACTAAGTTATTAAAATACGCTTGGGACCATTCTTTGAACCTGAAGACAACTGGTATGGAATGGCCTATATTTCACACTGTTTTATACTGCAAAATAGTATGGTTACATGCAAAATGGTCTATGGAGAATTGTCTCCTGCTTGTGCTAGATCCCAAGTTGCCTGGGAATTTCCTGGAAGGGGGCCAGGGAAAACCCTAAGCCACTCCAGCACCTTTCTAACATTCTAATAGTATGGACAATCATGTTCTGTTCCCTGGAAAGGTTCCCTGGCATTAATTTAAGGGTGACATCACTGGCACCTGTTGTAAGAGGTCCAGAGACCAAGAAGCTTGCAAATAAATGAGTCTCCTCTAGACGTCCATTTGCAAACTTGCCATGTTTAACATTATGGCTAAATAGGGCTCAGTTATTGCATTTCTTTAGATCTTAATAGATTTGTTGTGGTTACTGTTTCCATTTCCATAGATGTTGCTGGTGGGAAGTCTTTTGCTTAGGCTGCTGGAATGCTGCCTCTCCATCCCTAGTGCCAAGTCTTCAGCACAGCAAGAGCTGGTGCTTAGTCCTGTTCAGACGACTAGGGAGGCCTTTCTGCCTGAAATATGCAACATTCCAGCAACAACAAAGTACAGAAAAGGCACTGCCGGTGCCTGCTTCTGTGACAACTTAGAAGCAAAAAGGAGAGAAGAGGCAGACAAGCAACTTCTTTGGGAGGCCATTAGTGCCAGTTTCAGTCCTACTTTACACCATTGCTGAGGTGTGACACATGGACACTGATCTTCAAGTTGCCTCCATAAAAGAGTAAAGGTAGCCAAGCTAGGTACCTCTCAAGGTAAAAGTGTCCACCATCCCATCAAAATTTACTCCAGCCACAAAGTCATCTCACTTGTAACGAAGGCATAGTTGGAAGCTGAGGGGCTTCTTCAGGTTCTCATGTTTATGTCTGGGAACATTTTTTGTCATGATGTTATTTTCTCTTACAGACTGTGTTTGGCTATTTACTTATTTATCTTATCACCATGCTCTTCTTTTCCTACCTTGTTTTTCTTCTCTATGTTTATTTTTGGCCTTTGACCTAGTTTTCTCTTTTCCTGTTTGAATAAACATGTTTGAACTGTTAAAGCTATGTTGATCTTTCTTGTTTTTCCAAATAATTCTAGGGCTCCTTAGGCTTCATCTCCTTGCATGACCAACTGCTGCAAGGCAGCACAGCCAGTTCCTGTGGAGCTTGGGTTACAAAACTAGAAGAAAGTGTAAAGAGAAAAGAAACTCTAGAAGGATTAGAAAGGAGATCAGAAAAAGCGAAAGCAATATAATCCCAGATAGACACTGTGTTTGTGAACTGGAAACTTCACTTTAACAGTTAAGAGGTGTCCTGTTCAGGTGTGCAAGACCTCAAAATCTGAAGGTCACAATCTTTGGTCAGACTCAAGGGAGAATGGCCCTCTTTCTTTTCAAGGCAGTAGAAAGTAATAGTTTAGGTTGGAAAGGACCTTTTAAGGTCATCTAGTCCATCTGAGGGAGCAGTGACATCTATATCAGGTTGCTCAGAGCTCCATCCAGCCTGAACTGAATGTTTCCAGGGGTGGGACATCTACCACCTCTCTGGGCAACGTGTTCTATTGTTTCACCACCCTCACTGTAAAAAGTTTCTTCCTTATATCTATTATAAATCTACCCTCTTTTAGTTTAAAACCATCACCCTTTGTCCTAGAACAATAGGGTCCTACTAAAAAGCCTGTTTCCATCTTCCTTATTAGCCCCCTTTAAATATTTAAAGTCTTCAGTAAGGTCTCCTTGAAGCCTTCTCCCCTCCAAGCTGAACAACCCCAACTATCTCAGTCTTTCCACACAGAAGAGGTGTTCCAACCTTCTGATAATATTTGTGGCCTCCCTCTGGACCTGTTCCAATAGGTCTGTATCTTTCCTCTAATGGGGACTCCAGAGCTGGAGGCAGTAATCCAGGTTTAGTTTGGTGAGCAGAGCAGAATCACCTGTCTTGACCTGGTGACCATGCTTCTTTTGATGCAGCCCAGGATACAATTGCCTTTCTGGGCTGTGAGCACACATTGCCATCTCATATCCAGCTTTTAAAGCACCAATATTCCTGACTCCTTCTCCACAGGGCTGCTCTCAATCTCTTCATTTTCAGCCTGTATTGATACCAGGGGTTGCCTTGACCTGCTTGCAGGACCTTGCACTCAGTCTCATCAAACCTTATGAGGTTCACATAGACCCACTTCTTCAGGTTGTTCCGGTTCACCTGGATGACATCCCATCCCACAGGCATGTCAACTACCTCACTCAGCTTGGTGTCATCTGCAGACTCCTTTATGGTAAAACACATAAGTGGGAGAAGAAGGAATTTATCCACCAGTCTTGGTTTGCCTACTTCTTTCATGGAGACATAGAAAGCCATGAGGAAAGATATGTAATTTTAGGTCTTAGTTTTCTTGCTGGCAAATTCAGATTAATCATAGTGGACAAGGCCTCTACTCTCCAACATGTTTCATGGTCTAAAGGTATGCATGAGGCAGACAGGTTGGGATTAATAAACATATTATCAGATGCTGCATTGGAAACCCACAAACGCCTCACCAGAGTATAGTGTGGATGCAATTGGTTGGTCTGTGCCAGCATACACTGTTTGAGGGTCACACTCCTTGCAAACCTACTAAAGCAGTATTGATTCAGGTTTAGAACAATGTAAATACAGATCGACAATCCTAGAAACACAGAAGAGGAAATGAAAGAACAGCAAGTGGTTTTTTAATCCCAAATTTCTCAATCTGTAGGTCATGTTTTACCAAGACACTAACTAAAACATGTGAACCATTCTCACCACAGAGTTCGGTTCTGTAATGAGTCTTAAAGAGATGCAAATTAATTATAAGTAAGATCAACACAGTTGAGATGTGTTTCTGCAGTCCTCTGGTTCTTATGGCAAGATCAACACTGACCGGTGTATGTCTACTTCATGTGACACTAAGTCATAGAAAATTTGATGTTAAATCATAGAAATGGATGTCTAGACTGATGTGCTCCTGGTGGAGAGGATCAGGTAACTGGGAGGTTGACCACACTCTGCTGATGCTACAGGTACCTCTCCTCACAGTACCTACCCTCTTGTGCCTTCAGAAGACTCAATACTGCATATAGATACTTGACAAAAAACACCTGGCTCCTTGACCTTCACTCAATTCTTATAGTTTAATATATTCTCAGCCTTGCAGAACTTTAATCCGTTTCCCTCTGACAAATAAGAACTTAATGGTAATTCTACCTTCTCTGTACTCGTCAAAATTACTTCCAGCTCTAGCCTGAAGCAAACTACATCATTGTCTTTTAAAGTCTGCTTAGGTGATGACCAAATCATAAAATTATACTGGATCAAACCCACATGTAAAGTGAAAATTCAGTTCAGCACTTCTTGCCTTTTGCTGATGGTCATCTGGGGGAAAACTATGGCCAAAACCATAGGTTCACTACAGATGAGTCTATCTAGCGGAGTGTATCTGAATCTATTTAGCTGAATGTACCTACAGAGTTTCTGAAGAGACACTTTCCAGAAAGAACTTACATTGTCAACAGATTACATCAGAGATATAAATTAAAAAGATGAAGTTAAATATTTGCTGTGGGAACAGTAAGATTATAAAAAACACGTGCTGTCCAAAACCCAAATCTACAAGGGATGGAGTATGTCTTTCCTTTTCCATAGTTTGGTTTAGTAAGTAGGAGTTTTATTCTTTTAGTCTGCTTACAGTGCTACAAAATATGTTCCTTACTGTACCATTAAGAAAGCTTGATAAATAATTTGTTCTTTTACAGGAGCCCCTGTGACATGTGAGCCCTGACAAACACATAGAAGTCTGGATACTACTGAGGAAACAGGAAATTTCTTACATACACAACAGATAAAATGATGCCATCATTCCACCCATTTAAAAGAAGGTGAAAATTAAATTTAAAAAATTAAAGAAGAGGTTTAAGAATAACTAACCACACCTTATTTCCTGAAATCCCCCTTGTGATAAAGAAAGATTATTTTACAGTCTGCCAAGATGAAACTTACCTTAAAAAATGCTTTTAAAACTTTTTTCCTATCAATACAGTCCTATGATGTTTTCTTCACATTGATTTCTCTGAAACTTAGCAGAGACCATACATGACCAAAAATATATAGTGATGCAACTGAAACCGTGGGTTTTTTATAATCTTGCACAATGCTCTGTACTAATAATTCACAAATCTTGTGATTCAGTCTTCTCAGAGGTGGTAAAAGAGTACCCTCTGCAACACAGGTAGGAGGCATGATGAAATCAAGAATCATTGTAGGTCTTAGCTTTGATTTATTACACATACATTTCATTCTGTCAGTCAGTGAAAAGAAAATACTGACTGCCTGTTTAAAAACATAGTACCACCACTGTGGTTGATAATGGAGTGAAAAATTTTATCTGCAGATTGTCAGCTCAAGAGGAGCAATAGATTTGTTGCTGTTGATTAAAAATTACCACATACAATTATGATAATGGTTATGATCAGATGATTACTTGTTGACATATGAAATTAATCACTGTCATCAGTTCTTTCCATGTGAAATAGATGTTTGTGTGGTGCTATAGATAAAATTCACCTGTGTAACTTATATTACCTGGATCCCTTTTGACAATCTGAGCAAATGACAGAAGACTAAAGAAATGAGAAGATGCTATCATTTCACATCTAGTCCTAATCATTCTAGGGAAA